ATGTTCAAGGTGAACAAAACCAGAGTAGGATCCACGAAGTCTCAAAAGTACCAGTTGAAAACAACAGTACAGCTTGCTGCCTCTGTTTCACAGTTCTTTACTTGGATATAAATTATGCCAAATTGCTCCCTTTGTAAATCAGGAGTAGCTCCCCAAAATCAAGACACTAAATAGAACTTAGTTATAGTTGCAGCAAGCTGGGAGGAGTGATTGGAGGATATTGTCCCCTCCTTATATCCTTCCCTAAAAGTCCATTACTGGCCACAGCTGGAAGCATGGTAGGCTAGATGGACTTTCTGGCTTACCCATTGGGTTTTTATGCTATATTCCGTGAACCTAAAGGAACTGGTAGACTATGTTGAATTGCACTTACTGTCCCAGATTTTTAAAACCTAATGAAATTTAGGAATTTATAGAAGTGAAATAAATCATTAGTGTTCAAACCTCTGATCTTATGCACTAGAGACTGCTCCTAAAACAGTGTGTAAGTGATGTCTGCCAAATTCTGAGTGATAGCTATGTAAGTACAAAGTTGGGAGTTACTAGTACTGTAGCTCTATCCCAGAATTCTACTGAAATGTCAAAGAACAGAAACTTCTTGTGAGACAGATAAAGATCTGATAACTTGCAGAGCAACTAAACTTAAAGGTTAAAAACATATATCGCCGAAACATTTACCTCTCTTGTACCAAGGTCCGGAACTTCCCTGGATTGGTGGAAAGGAGCTGCTTTGCTTCCTCAAAGCCAAGCTGTACTGGATAGTACCCCCCGCTGAATGGGTTATGACATGAAGTTTGGTCAGACCCCAGATCAACTAGCAGCTCTCCTGTTGTGACCAACTCATATACTAGCCTCTCCCTGGAGAAGACAATGAGTGGAGTGTTTGAACAGAAGCTGTCATTTCACATTCTAGCTCCTCTTTCAGGTGAACTTCTTCCAACCCAAGAGGTTGTTTATAAAGATATACCCTTGGCAGGCTAAGTCTTTGTTTTAGCAGTCAGGAGGTGGGAAATAATGGTGATGAAGATTTGGGTGCAACTTTTATACTTCACATTTACATGTGCAGGA